TTAGGGGTGTTTGAGAGCGCTCACTGCCACCAATCCTCCCTTGTCTTTGCTTTGTCTTGGGTTTATCTAGTGATTAGTGGTAGAGGATACAGCACTGTAGAATATTTACAGAAGAGGGTCTGCTCTTAGATAACAAGAAGATTTAACGTATATACCAATAATTAAAGCCTTAGAGAGCTGGTACAGATCCATCTACTCCCTTTAAAAACTACAGTAGAACTCCTTGTCTCCATGTGCAGACTGTGTGTGACTTCATTGGAAAGGATGGAGCTAATATAAAACAAACATTAAACCTTCAGAGCCATTAACTTATCCAACATGTAAGATTTTGAGGGTACTTGACAGGGTGAATGCGGAGAAGATGTTTCCTTTGTGAATGAATCAGAATTTAGGGACACCACTTCAAAATGGGGGTTTTCCCAGTTGAGGCAGGGATGAGCTGGAATTTCTCCTGTGGAGGGTTGTTAATCTTTGGAATTATCTTCCACCCAGGGAGGAATGGAGGGTGAGAAGAGAGAGTTTTTTACATAGCGAGTTGTAATGATCTGCCTGAAAGGCTGGTGAAAGCTGATATAATAGTAACTTTGAAAAGAATAATTCCTTACAGAGGAAATCCTTACAGGGCCCTGGGGAGAAAGGACACAAAGAGCCAGCACAGGCACGATGGACAAAATGGCCTTTTTCTAGGATAGGGCGACATGTTGTCCCTTCTTGCTGTGCCAAGATAAGATGTAAAATGTAATGAACATGCTGCTGTAGATGGTAATTGACACACTTGGCATCCAGGCTGTTGTCTTCCTCTGGACTTAACTTGAGTTAACACACTCAGACACCGTGCTGTTTCACCAAGTAGTGACTCACACTGGTTGCCTGTGGTTTGCTCTTTGCCAGACAACCATATTTTCCACTGATTGCTGAGCTGCTTACAGACTCCACCCGCCCCATTTGCACGCAAGCATGAAAGACCTGTTTATTTTTGTATGTCTTTCAACAACAAAGCAAACAGAAGCACAGTAAATATCGTGCCTTTCTTTTTAGGGAAGAAAGGGGACACGTATAAAACTGGGGAGGGGGGTAGAACTCACACACCAGCATCCATTTTGCAATATGATACAATGTCAAGATGCAACGCATACTGTAGGCTGACACTGCATTATATTGCAGACTACTTAGTGATATTTGTGCTGAACAGTGCAACATAGTTGGAGGAAGTTGTCCTGGATGTCTTCAACATTGACTGGGATTCCATGAAGTCTCATGGCTTCAGGTGAAACATGACCAAGAAAACCTCCTGCTGATTACAATGTACTGCCCCCGGCCATTGAATCAGTACTTCTCCATGCTGAATAACACTTGGAGGATGCACTGAAGATGGCAAGGGCACAATGTGCTCTGGATGGAGATTTCGATGTCCACCACCAAGAATGGCTCAACAGCAGTATTACTGATCGAGCTGGTCAGGTCTTAAAGGACATAGCTGCTAGACTGGGTCTGCAGCAGGTGGTGAAGGAATCAACAAGGGGAAAAAACGTACTTGACCTCATGTAACCAATATGCCAGCTGCAGATGCATCTGTCCATGGCAGTCTTGGTAAGCATGACTATTGCACAGTCCTTGTGGAGACAAAGTCCCATCTTCACATTGAGAATAACCTCTATCATGTTGTGTGGCACTATCACTGTGCTAAATGGGACAGACTTCAAGCTAACTTAGCAATTCAAGACCGGGCTCTGTGAGCCACTGTGGGCCATCAACAGCAGCAGAACTGTACTCCAGCACAATCTGTAACCTCATGGCCCGGCATATCCCCCACTCAACCATTACCATCAAGCCGGGGGATCAACCCTGGTTCAATGGAGAGTGCAGGAGGGCATGCCAGGATCAGCGTCAGGCATACCTGAAAATGTGGTGTCAACCTGGTGAAGCCACCAAACAAGACTACATGCACGCCAAACAGCGAAAGCAGCAAGTGATAGACAGAGCTAAGTGATCCCACAATCAACAGATCAGATCCAAGCTCTGCAGTCCTGCCACATCCAGTCATGAATGGTGATGGGCAATTAAACAACTCACTGGAGGAGGCTGCATGACAAATATCCCCATCCTCAATGATGCAAGAGCCCAACATAAGGCTGAGGATAAGGCTGAAGTTTTCACAGCCATCCTCAGCTAGAAGTGCCGACTGAATGATCCATCCTGGCCTCCTCTTGTGGTCCCCTGCATCACAGATATCAGTCCTCAGCCAATTCAATTCACTCCAAGAAACGGTTGGAAGCATTGGATACTGCAAAGGCTATGGGCCCTGACAACATTCCAGCAATAGCACTGATGACTTGTGCTCCAGAACTTGCTGCTCCCTGAGCCAAGCTGTTACAGTACAGTTACAACACTGGTATCTGCCCGGCAATGTGAAAAATTGCCCAGATATGTTCTGTACACACAAAAAAAGGACAAATCTAACCATCTACTGTCTGAATCTACTCTCGATCATCAGTAAAGTGATGGAAAGTGTCACCGATAGTACTATCAAGCAGCACCTGCTCAGCAATAACCTGCTCAGTGATACCCAGTTTGGGTTCCACCAGGGCCACTCAGCTCCTGACCTCATTACAGCCTTGGTCCAAACATGGACAAAAAAGCTGAATTCCAGAGGTGAGCTGAGAGTGACAGCCTTTGGCATCAAGGCCATATTTGACCGATTGTGGCTTCAAAGAGCCCCAGCAAACTGGAATCAGTGGGAATCAGAAGGCAAACTCTCCAGTGGTTGGAGTCACACCTGGCACATAGGAAAATGGCCGTGGTTGTTAGAGGTCAGTCATTTCAGATCCAGGACGCCTCTGCAGGAATTCCTTGTGGTAGTGACCTAGGCTCAACCATCTTCAGCTGCTTCATCAATGGCCTTCCCTCCATCATAAGGTCAGAAGTGGGGATATTCGCTGATGATTGCACAATGTTCAGCACCATTTGCAACTCCTCAGACACTGAAGCAGTCCATGTCCAAATGCAACAAGATCTGGACAATATCCTGGCTTGGGCTGACAAGTGGCAAGTAACATTCGTGCCGCACAAATGCCAGGCAGAGATCATCTTCAATAAGAGGCAATCTGACTAACATCCCTCAACATTCAATGGTGTTATTGACATTGATTCCCTCACTGTCAACATCCTGCGGGTTACCATTGATCAGACACTCAAATGGACTCACAATATAAATGCTATTTATATTGTAGCTAGAAGAGCAGGTCAGAGGCTAGGAATAATGCGGCACTTAATTCACCTCCTGACTCCCCGAAGCCTGACACTCAGTTTGTTCCAAGTCAGTGTTTCAAGAAAGTCCATGACCACCTTCTCAAGGCAACTACATATAGGCAATAAATAACAGCCTCAAAGATAATGGCATCCCCTCAATTAAACCTCTGCCCTCTCAGTTGGACGTACAAGATTCCACCTTAAGAGAAGCAAAGAGTTCAACCTGGTGTCAAACCAATGTTTATCCTTCAGCCAACATCTTGAAGCAATGACTGTCAGCAAATTTCCATTTTGTGGGACCTTGCTGTGTACAACTTGGCTGTCGCATTTCCTATAATCACATTAGTGACTACATTGCAAAGGGAGTTTCGCTGGGCTTGAAGCATTTTCAGAAGCTCCAGTACATCAACAATGACACAGAAATACATGTCTCCCTTTGAATACTAGGTCAATCTTGCCCAACAAATGGCAGGTGGGCAATGCATTACTTGAGGAGAGAATGCCTCACAGGCACTCATGTCATGTTTGTGTGCTGATGTAAATATCTGCCACCATTCAGGTACCACAACAACTAAAAATGATGTGCACTCTTTTATTGATGACAATTGCACTGTGCATGAATGTGAGCATTTGGATCTCATAAAAACATAAAAAGCATACAGGAAGAGGAAGCCCCTCAGGCCTGCTACACCATTCAGTAAGACCATGGCAGATCTCTGATCCCAACTCCACTTCCCATACTATCCATCTATCCCTTGATTCTCTTAAAGTCTAAAATCTATTGATGTCAGCATTGATCATACTCTCCCTGATTATGTATTCACAAACCTCTGGGTTACAGTTTATAACTCATTCAGCATTTATTAATCAGGAATGTTTTGGGGAATGAATATTAAAAGTCTTGGATATGAAGTGTGCACATATTTTCAAGGCAGTGGTAGATAGATACTTGATTACCAAGGGGATGAAAGATAGTCAGGGTATACTGGAATGTGGGGTTTAAGATTAAAATCAGATCAGCCATAACTGTATTGAATGGTAGAACAAGCTCAAAGGGTCAAGGGCTCAGTCTTGTTCCTTGTTCTTATATTCATATGTACAAGGAGTTAAGATGTTGGATCAGTTATTATGTTGATGATTGCTGGAACAGGCTAGAGAAGCTGAATAGTCTTCTTTGATTGTTAAGTGTCAAAATGCATTTAGGCAGATCTGAATTCCCAATTAGAAATATACGGCTGAAGACCAATGTATGGGACAGTGCTGACCTTGGGTACATTTCATCATTTGTATGCCAGAGATCCTTGTACTTTTATTTTCTTTATGGGATGTGGTGTCACTGACAAGGTCAGAATTCACTGCTTATCTCTAATTGCCCTTGAGCAGCGTGGCTTGCAAAGGCCATTTCAGAGGCCAGTCATCAGTCAGCCACATTTCTGTGGGTCTGGAGTCACATGTAGGCTAGGTCAAGAAAGTATGTCAGATTCCCTTCCTAAAGAACACTAGTGAACCAGACAGGTCTTTATGACAATCAGCGATAATCGTAAACTCATTATTACTGAGACTCACTTTATATTCTGGCTGTAATTACTGAATTCAAATTCTGCAAAATGCCACCGTGGAATTTGAACTTATGTCCCACAATCTTACTGGTCCAGTGATGTTACCATTATACCCAGCATCTCCGTTTCCTTCATGTGTTAAAGGTCATGCTTTCCCATGTAATAAAGTGGATTGTTTCTTCCTGTTGTCAGCAGGCAAAACCAGAACGAAAGACAAGTACCGAGTGGTGTACACTGACCATCAAAGGCTGGAGTTAGAGAAGGAATTTCACTACAGCAGATATATTACCATTCGCAGGAAGTCAGAACTGGCAATTGCATTAGGATTGTCTGAACGGCAGGTGAGTGGGCCTCAGTTCTGTGTATACTTAGATGGAATTAGATTGAAGCATGCTGGAGGTATGAGTCATCTATAGTGTTCTGGGATGTTGAGGCCTGGCAAGTCGCAAAATTGTGTCCCGTGACTGCGGACAACAATGGTCTCATTAAACAGACCTACCTGGAGGTGTTAATGTGTGTATGTTTGTGTGCGCGCGCGCGTGTGTGTGCGCGCACGCGTGTGTGTGCACGCATGTGTGCACGTGTGCGTGTTTCTGTGTATGTGTATGTATGTGTTTGTGTGTATGCGTGCATGTGTGTGTCTGTATTTGTGTGTGTATGTGTGTGTTTGTGTGTATATGTGTGTGTGTGCATGCATGTGTGTGCGTGTGCATGTGTGTGTGCGTGTGTGTGTGCGTGTGTGTGTGTGTGTGAGTGTGTGTGTCTGTGTGTGTGTTAATTTCCTGACTGTTGGAAAAAAAACTGCAGGACAAGTTTTCGTAAGTACAATACTGTAACAAACAAACTAAAACCAACATGGATCCAACACTCCTTAAAAGGCTAATTATACACCAAACTGAAGGAAAGATCTTTTTAAACTAACTAATTGGCTCAATTATGATATGCAGTGTGACAATTTACTTTTGCTTCACACCACATTTCTGACAGATCAGTAGCAAAATAAAGCCTAAAGGTCCTCAAGCTGCAAGTCGGCTCATTTCTCCTTGCCACATCAGACTGAATCTTCCGATTTTTTGTTTGAAAGCTGTTCTGAGTATTCTAGAACTGAAACAACCACATTTTAGATTTCCACAAGGAAAGTGTTTTTCAATTGCTCCTTGATCATTAAATGTTGAAAAGTGCTGTTGATCCCGTTTCCCTCCATTCGAACAGGAGACAAACTTTTACAAACATTTTGATTAGTTATTACACAAAAACAGCTTTTACCCTGTTCTTCACCATAATGCTGCTGTTGCTCCCCTACATCAGTAAACCTATTGTTTTTCCTCTCTCTGTGTGTCTAACTTTGTGTAAAAGGAGTTAACTTCAGTATCTAACCCCATGCTGTGAATCTAATGTGAATCTAAACCTATGTTGTACCCATGAATGTTTGTTATGGACACTGTAGAGGAAGATTTAATATATCTAACCCTCGGCTGTACCTGTCCTGGGAGTACTTGATGGGGACGGTGTTGAGAGAACTTTATTTTCAGTTTAAAAGAGTTGAGGTAGTTTTATTCTGTATCTAATCCCATGCTGTCCCTTGGATTGTTTGATGGGGAAAATGTCGAGGGGGCTTTACTTTTCTGTTTACTTTTAGTTTCAAGGAGTGGAAAGAGCTTTGCTCTGTATTTAACTCTGTTCTGTCCCTGCCCTGGGAGCATTTGATGGGGATAGTGTCGAGGGAACTTTACTTCTGTTTGCTTCTAGTTTAAAAGAGTAGAGAAAGCTTTACTCTGTATCTAACCCCATGCTGTCCCTGTTCTGAAAGTGTTTGATGGCGACAGTGTAGAGAAAGCTTCCCTTTGTGTTTAAAAGAGTAAAGGGAACTTTACTATCAGCTTAAAATAGTTATGGAAGCCTTACTTTCCAATAATATTTAGTTTAAAAGAGTAGAGATAACTTTACTCTGTAACTAACCCTGTGGTATCCCTGTTCTGGGAGTGTTTGATGGGACAGTGTAGAAAGAGCTTTACTCTGTATTTAATCCCACACTGTCCCTGTCTCTGGAGTGTTTGACAGGGACAGTGTCAAGGGCAGCTTTATTTTCAGTTTGAATGAGTAGAGAAAGCTTTACTCTGCACCAAATCCCTTGCTGTACCTGTCCTGGGGTTGTTTGACAGGGACAGTTGTTGGAGCTTTACATTCAGTTTAAAAGAGTAGAGAGAGCTTTACTCTGAATCTAACCCTGAGCTGTACCTGAGCTGAGTGTTTACTGCAGACAGTGTAGAAGAAGCTTTATATCTACCCCCTGCTAAAAATGCCAGAGTTTTGTATTCCTAATTCGATTCAAACAATCAAAATATGAAGAAACGTCTGGTTATTTAACATGAAGTGGTGTAGAATGTTTTGATGAAGATTGAATATTCTCTTCTCTTGCTCTGTCCCAGGTGAAGATCTGGTTCCAGAATAGACGAGCAAAAGAGAGAAAAATCAACAAAAAGAAGATGCAGCAACAGTCCCAACAAGCCAGTACGACAACGCCCACTCCACCTGGAGTCCCCGGCCCTGCGCCAGCCATCGGCCTGGTTAGCAGCAGCAGTAACCTTGTCTCGCAATCCATTCCACTGACTATCAAAGAGGAATACTTGTCCTAACTCAACTCTTCTCCCTGCACCTCCTGTACAAGAGGCCCCACTCCATTCTGGATTGGCTACACCGCAGTTTGAGTAAAGAAAAGACTTGTCTCTGAAGCTTTGTGCTTTAGGAAGTGACACTATTTAACCCTCAGGAGTGCTGCCTTCATTCTCCCTCCCTCGACACCTACAGAGGGTGGTGGAGGTGGCGAGGGGGAAGGAAGGGCCTGTGCATTTGGGATCAAGGCTTGAACTCTGACCTCTGCTTTGCGGTGGATGAAAATACATTGAAAAACCTGGGAAGTTGGGGGGTACACAGAAATGGAAGGAGGACTTCAGTCTTGAAATGGAGATTTGTTGTGTGCAGTGTATTTTTCTGAAGACTGCATTCAGTAACAATATTGGGTCCCAAGCGGGATAAGGGTCTGCTTCATCAAGCATGTTTCTCTGCTGTTGTGAATGTTGTTGAATTTGTTTTTAGATAGGCTGTAACATATTTCTTGTGGTTAAGGGCTTGTTTATTTTTTAAGAAAGAATATATTGTTCGAAATGTTGTATTACACCAGAAACTCACAACATTTTCAAATTGGACTTCTAAAAATGGTTTGTTGGCAAGAAATACTTTTCAGTTTTGCTGCTTTTCACATTTTATTCCGTAGCCTCTGTCCTTGGGAGTCACTTAGAAGTGGTAAAACAACAACTTGCATTTATATAGCATCTTTTGCAAAGTGAAATGTTCCCAAAGGCAAATGTTGACACCCAAGATATCTGAGAAGATATCAGGGAGAGGTGATTAAAAGCTTGGTCAAAAAGGGAGGTTTGAAAGGAGCATTGTACAAGAGGAGAGGGAGTGGTAGAGGGCTTTAGGGAGGGAATTTCAGAGCTGAGGGCAGGGCTGACCAATCATGGAGTGACTAACATCCAGGAGGAAGAAGAGGCTGGATTAGAGCAGATAGAGATCTTAGTGAGCTTACAGAGATCTTGGGGATGCGGCACGGGATGGGCTTTTTATTCTACAGAAGAATCTGGACACAAGGATGTGAATTTTATATCTTAGTGTTAATGGTCTGGCCAGGGAAATGAATCAGTGGGACTCACTGTGAATTGGGATGTGAGCAGGAAAATTTTGAATGAGGTCAAGATCATGGGAGGGGGAAGATAAGAGGGCAGACAGTGGGCTGTTGAACAATTAAAGTCTGTAGATAATAAATTAGTGGTTTTCTTTTTGATGAAGTGGGTGAGAATCTCTAGGTTTGAGTCCCACACCTGGGCTTGATGGCCATGGATCATAAAATCCTCACAGTGTGAAAGCAGGCCATTTAGCCCATTGAGTCCTCATTGACCCTCCAAACAGCAGCCTACCCACACCCACCCCATACCCTATCACTGTAACCCTGCATTTCCCATGGCCAAGCCACCTAGCCTGCACATCCCTGGACACCAAGGGTAAGTTGGCATGGCTAATCCACCTAACTGTTGCATCTTTGGACTGTGTGAGGAAACCAGAGCACTCGGAGGAAACCCATGCAGACACAGGGAGAACGTGCCTGAGGTTGGAATCAAACCTGGGTCCCTGGTGCTGTGAGGCAGCAGAGCTAACCACTGTGCCACCATGCCACCCCCTGCCAGATGGTAAGCTTACAATGTGGTCAGACTGGTTGATTATCAGTCTGTAAATCCTTCCCATGTCCCTGATGATAGGTAATAAGAACAGGAGAACTTCCATAGGCGTTGACAAACTGCCATAGGACTTTGATCAATACAGGATCTTGATGAAGAGTCCTGACCCAAAACATCGACTTTCCTACTCCTTTGATGCTGCCTGGCCTGCTGCGTTCCTCCAACTCCACATTGTATCAACTCTGACTCCAGCATCTGCAGTTCTTGCTATTTCCATAGGACTTTGATCATAGGGGTAAGCCCGTCCAATGGAAGGCCATAGCCCAACCTTTGAAAATGTTGGTATGGGAGAACAGACGGATAGCTAACAAAAGCAGGAATGCAGGAACACAAATCATTAGATGTAGCTGGCCAGGTCAGTGTGTCTTGGCCATTTGAAAATACCCAGAGGGAAACTGAGAGTCAACCAAAGCAGGTAAGGCTGGTAGGTTTCCTTCCTGAAATGACATTTGAGAATTAGATAATCTTTACAACAATCAACACATAGTCACTTTCAGACTAAGTTTTAATTGGATTCAAATTTCTCCATTGGCCATAATGGGATTCAAACCTATTCAACCCCAGAACATTATCTTGGGGGCCTGGATTATGAGTCCAGTGATATAACCACTGCCCTTTTACCTTCCTATGAATCACAAGCACAGACCCACAGTGATGTGATTAACTCTTAACTGCCCTCTGGGCAGTTAGGGATGGACAATAAACGCTGGCCTAGCCAGTGACACCCACATCCCATGAATGAACAACCACACAGAGAATTATATAGGATGTAGAGCTCAGAAAGAGATTGTTCAGTACAGCTGGGCCACGCCAAAGTTCCAGCTCCTTCTGAGCCTTCATCTCACTTACCTTCATCACATCCTATGACCATAGTCTTTTCTTCAAATCATTTCTTATCTAAGTTCCCCCTTAAATATACCCTTATGATCTTGATGGGCTGAAAGGCCTTTAAATGTGATGTAGACCTCTATGACAATTTGCTACAATTGCTCCTTACAGCAGCATTTTTCACATTCTTACCACTCTCTTGGTAATGACGCTCCCCTTGAACTTGCCAATGGATTTTGAAATGACTACATGGAGGCTGGTATCCCATCACCAAGTTGCCCTTTATTTACATTTGCACAGTACATTGGCTGTGGTCAGTCCATTCACAGTCAGTCCCTGCTAGACAGGAAACTCTGAACCCGCTGTTTCTATCTGTCATCCAGGACTCCCCGATTGGCCTACGTCAACAACTCCAATCAAGAATCTCATAATCAATAAGATCCACCTGGTTCTAATCACTAATCACTAATTCTAATCAGATTTATTACTGACCAATTTATATTTATGACTTTGATCTGTCTCTGTATCTATCCCATCAAACCCTGTCATAATCTTAAAGACCTTGATTAGGTCAAGGCTGAATGAATAAATAAAAGCTACTGCCTGTGGTCATGAGATCCACATTTTCACCACTCACGCATTTCTCCTGAATTCCTACTGGATTTCATTAGTGAGCATCTTATGTGCCAACATATTCTGGAGTTGCCCACAAGTCAATTAACTGGATAATGCCAATCCATCCAGGATTTTGATTGTGGTGGATTCCAATATGGTTATGGCTTGACATTTAATAGCATTTCTGTCACTGAATTCCCTATTGTCAATGTCCTGGGCTTATCATCAACCAGAAACTAAAATGGATCAGCTATATTGATATTGTGGCTGAAAGAGCAGGTCAGAGGCTAGGAATGCTGCAACAAAAAACGCACCACCTAACTCCCCAAAACCTGACACCATCTACAAGGAACAAGACAGGAGTATGATGGAATACTCCCCACTTGCTTGGATGAGTGCAGCTCCAACAACACTCAAGCAGCTTGAAAGCATCCAGGCCAAAGGATGCCGCTTGGTTAGTGCAATATCCACAAAATCCAATGTTCACTCCCTCCATCACGCACAGTGCCAGCAGTGTGTATCATCTACAAAATGCAACTCACTGAGGTTCCTTTGACAGCACTTTCCAGTCTCTCAACTTATACCAACTAGAAAGAGAAGGGTCAGCAGATACATGGGAACACCACTTAAAGCAAATTCTCCTCAAAGTCATACACCAGCCTGACTTGGAACTACGTCACTGCTGTGACACTGTTGCTGGGTCAAAATCTTGGAACTCCCTTCCTGATAGCACTGCATATCTCCCAGCAGGTTAGAAGATGGCAAACCAAGACCTTCTCAAGGGCAATTTGGATTTGACAATAAGTTCTGGTCCAACCGGTGAATCTTCATCTTGTGATTGATCAAAAAAAAACATTTCGAAACATTAGCTTTCAAATGATAGGGAATTCTGATGGTTGTGAGAGTTGCTGTAAATATAAGTCTGTTCTCTTTTTTTCCCTTTCTCACAGTGGGTATCTCTCCTGCCTCTGAATCAGATGGTTGTAGGTTCAAAACCCACTCCAGAGATTTGACCAGAAACATTCAGACTGACAATCCCCGGTGCATAACTGCAGGAGTGCCGCACTGGCACAGGCACCATCTTTTGAATAAGATGTTAAACAGAGGCACCATCTGCTCTCTCAGGGGAGAAGGGAATTTCTCCCTCAACTTCTTGCGAGTGATTATCCATCTATCAATGTTAGCAATAATCAGGTCATTATCACACTGCTATTTAGTAGGTGCTTGCTGTGCACTATTTGGTGTGTTTCTTCCATCACAGCAGCAACCACATTTCCGAATTACTTTATTCTTTAAAGTGTTTTCTGAAATCCTGAGGTTGTGAAAGGCACTACAGAAATGAAAGTCCCTTCTTTGCCTTGTTGTCATATCTGGTTAGTATTTCGATAAAGGGACCAAGTTTCCTCAGGACTGCAGATGAGTAAAACACTAAGTTGCAAGACCTAGTGTACATGTGCCACTGATATAGAAACAGCTACACTGCCATTGCAATAGTGGTAGTGTGTTCTGTCACGATGAGCAGAGATAAAATTGTTACTCTGCCCATGGATGGTTTCATAGAAATATGATTCTACATGAAGCTGGTAGCACTTATCTGGGGGTTGGTTAGCTCCGTTGGCTGGATGGCTGGTTTGTAATGCCACCAGCATGGGTTCAATTCCATGAAGTCACCATGAAGGGCTCTCTTTCTCAACTTCTCCCCTTGCCTGAGGTATGGTGACCCTCAGATTAAAGCACCATTAGTTACCATCTCTAATGAGCAGGACTATGACAACTTTACCAGCAATTGTCTATCTGACAAAGTGAAGCATTGCAACTCTGATCAGCAATATGGAGGACCTGGAGTTTGCATCAGTTTTGCAGAAAAAAGGGGTTTAATTGATATTTTTGTCGCATTATTGAGAATGCCTTGTTTATTAAAGAAGCACGATCAGGCATTTTATTCTCACTGCGCTGAGCATATGTTTGAGTGGACACTGCTCTACACTGGAGGGTACATCAGAGTTTGTGCAAAACTAGGATTTTGTGCCATATCCCTGTACAGGTTTACTCAGAAATTGGCATCTTCTCATTTCCATGACTGTCCTATACACACGGTTATAAGCTGGATGCCAGGTCTCAGTAATGTATAGTTTATGATTGAGAAAAGAAATGGGTTTTCATCCTGCACTTATCAGGACATTTCGCAAGAATACCAATACAGCAAGGAAACTGACAGTTTTGTTGCAGGAGAGGAGAATGCTGATTAGTAGGCAAGTGGACTATGATTGGCTAAGGTGATTGGCCTGAGAGAATGCATAGGTACATTCTACCAATCTACTACCAAGTAGAGTCCGCTTGCAAACAAATCAGCACTTTCCTTTCTTGCTGGCTTACCCCTTGAAATGATATTCTTGCAAACTGTGTTGATGAGTGCAGGTCATAAACTTTGACAAAATGTGTCTTGGCTCAGCATTGCTCAAGTTCTGTGCTGTTAAACAAGTATTTACACGGTAATAAGCTCTGCATTCTCAGGTGGAGGCAAAGGACTCCACGGCATCATCTTGAAGAAGAGCGAAGGAATCTCATCTAGTGCTGTGCCCAGTATTTTTTCCTCAAACAAGATCACTAAGGAACCAGATTACAACTGGTCATTATCTTGTGGCTGTCTGTGGGATCTTGCAGTGTCAAAATTGGCAGTGCATGCCCTACATTGTAACAG